CCCCAAAATCTGGGGTGAGGGGGATGAGGAAGGACCCCAATACTCAGGTCAAGGGGAGGAACCGCAATGGAAAACCCCAAAACCCGGGGTTATCTGATAGCCCCAAACCAGGGGGACCCCCGGGTGAGGGAGAGGAGGGACCCCAAGCAGAAGAATTTAAGGGGGAACCTCCCACCCCCGTGAACCCAAACCCCCAGGAGGGGGGGCCTGGGGAGGGATTTGGGGGTCCCTGGGGGGGCTGCGGGAACCCCCCGGGGGAGATTTTTTAGGGGGATGGGAGCGGGACGGGCTCTGTTTTTGGAAGGGCCCCCCTAAAATTGAGCTCAATAAAAACCTTGAGTGACATCTTCGGTGTGTTTGGGGACCCCAAAATGACCGAAACCATCCCAAAACTGACCCCTAAACCCCTAAGATTGACTCCAATACATCTAAAATGGATCCAAATACCAAAAATTAATCCTTATTCCCCTGGACTGACCTGATCCTGCCGGACCCCCAAGGCCCTGAGGTGAATCTTTGGGGGAAATGAGGCAAATCTTGCAGCAAACACCTTGAAATCGGGAAAGAACTCGGGCCAGGAGTTCCCAAGGAGATTCTGAGGGTTCCCAAAGGGGTTTTAGGGTTATTTTGGAGGATCCCGAGGAGGTTTTTGAGGTTTTTGGGGGGAAGATTTCAGGGATGCCCTCGCCTCCCCTCACGGTTCAATATGGCGGCGCTCCCACAATGCGAGAGGGCGGGAAATTTCCACTTCCGGCATCGCCTCGCTGAGGGAGGCGGGCGAGCCAATCAGAGGCGGGAAGAAGGCGGGATTATAACTCTCAACCAATCAGAGCGGCCACGGGGCGGAGCGAAAAGGCCGAACGAATCAGAGAGCGAGGTACGAGCGGAGCGACAGCGGGCTCGACCAATCAGAACCGAGAGGGCGGAACGGAGGGAGGTGCAGGCTCCGTGCTTTAGAGTCGCGGCCTGGTGCCGCTGCCGGCCCCGCCGCCGCCGCCGCCATGAACATCCTCCCGAAGAAGTCGTGGCACGTGCGGAACAAGGACAATGTGGCGCGGGTGCGGCGGGACGAGGCGGCGGCCGAGGTGGAGCGGAGGAAACGCGACGCGCGCGCGCTGCGGGCGGAACAGGAGGCGAGTGCTGAGGGGAAGGGGGG